AATAGAATAGAATAGAATAGAATAGAATAGAATAGAATAGAATTCTTTATTGGCCAAGTGTGATTTTACACACAAGGAATTTGTCTTGGTGCAAATGCTCTCAGTGTACATAAAAGAAAAGAGACATCCGTCAAGAGTCAAGAATCATAACATACAACACTTAATGAGAGTCATAGGGTACAATCAACAATCAAATCATACTAGGAAACAGTCAATATAAATCGTACGGATACAAGCGACAAAGTTACAGTCCTACAATCACAAGTGGGAGGGGATGGGCGATAAGGAGTGATGAGATTAATAGTGATAGTAGTGGAGACTTTGTAAATAGTTGAACAGTTTTGAGGGAATTATTTGTTTAGCAGAGTGATGACGTTTGGGAAAAAAACTGCCCTTGTGTCTAGTTGTTCTGGTGTGCAGGGCTCTATAGCATCGTTTTGAGGGAAGGAGTTGAAGCAGTTTGTGTCCGGATGTGAGGGGTCTGTAGATATTTTCACAGCCCTCTTTTTGACTCGTGCAGGATACGGGTCCTCCATGGAAGTCAGGTGGGTAGTATTTTTTTTTCCTGCAGTCCTAATCAGTGCAGGCAAGGCCCCCGGGAGGGGGCGGGTGTCTGTGTGTCCATGGGGACAGGCGTCCACGTGCAGCGGCTTCCACGAGGTGAGACCTCTGGGGTGGCCAACAGCCCTGCTTCCTCCGAATCTGCTGAGGTCAGCTTGGCTCTGCAGAAGGTCCTGCTGCTTCCTCCTCGGAGCCGGCCGGCCACTCAGCCCCGAAGAAGCCCAGCCTGCCTTCTGCCCACAGCCCTGCCTTCGGTCTCCATTTCCCAGCGGGGTCGAATATTCACAGGGAAGCTATTTTAACCAAAAGGCAGGATAGGTGTGTCATAATAACAACCATGCAGCCCAGTGTGGTTATGCTGGGATGGCCACAGATTACAGGGAAGCTTCCTGAAAATAAAAGCACCCCCGGGGAGGAGGGGGAGCAGCAGCTGCAGCCTCTGGACGCCTGAAGCGGCCAAAGTGGCTCCCCGGGCACAGAGCCGAGAGCCGCGAAGGGTCCCTGAGGAAGGCTGGCACGGCGGAGGGATGGCTCTCTGGCAGGACCCAGCTGGCCAGGCCTGGCATCCTGGGAGGTGCAGGGAAAATGCTGGAAAGCGAGGCTGGTCCAGGGAGGCAATCCCGGCCTACAACATTTAGTGACCGTCCAACATCACCACAGCACTGGAAAAGGGACTCGGGACTGTTTTCCGCACACCCCTCGTAGCAGCCTCCCCGAGGCCAGACAGCCAGATTTCAGGCGCCTGGCAGCTGACTCGTATTGATGACTGTCACAGTGTCCCAGGATCAATGGGGGAATCCAGGTTCACCTAACAACCATGTTAGTAACTTAATAACTGCAATGATTCACTTAGCAACGGTGGCCAGAAAGGGGGCACAGGGGGCAACACTTGCTTTAAAAATGTCTCACTTCGCAATACAAATCTGTGGTCATAAGTCAAGGACTGGCTGTAGCTCCCACTGTAGGTTGCTGGGGATGAGGGTGAAGGGAGTCTGCTGTCCCAGCCAGTCTATGGGAATTGGATGGTTAGTTAGGAATTATGAGCTGTCCCCTTAAGGGAAGGCATCGTGGTAAATGTTGTTAAAGGTATCCTGGGAAATGTAGTTCATGTCATGCGGCCACATCTGCAATCCCGACTGGTGACTAGTTTGATCCTTGATGGGTTGGGGGGTGTTTCCCTCACCTTTGTCTGAATTCACTAACTCATGGCAGCTTCTTTCTATCACTAGGAGATGGGTTAGGAGATAACCATCTTTTACCTACAAGGCAGGTATGCAAAGGATTGGTCACTAAAGAAGATCTTCATCACAAATGTGAGTTATGAGGATACCTGATGAACCAATCAATGTACTTTGTTGAGTTTATCTCTCTGCATCTGCACAGCTTAAAAACCCACCTCTGTGCAGAAGGCAGAAAAGGGCCCCCTCCCTCCTGCTCTCCCTTCCTAGCAGCTGCTCATCCAAAGGAGAAGGGAGGACTCGAAGTCTGGGCTGCTATCACCACACGGCCCCTTCCTCTGCTCTGAAGCCCAGCTAGCCCTCCGCCACCACCGGGCAGGTGCAGGATTTCGAATCTCTTGCAGGGGGTGGAAGCAAGCAGAGCCCCGTCTCCCTCCCTCCCTCCCACCCCCCAGCCTGTTTCTCTGGCGAAGTCCTGATTTAGTGCTGGTGGGGGCGGGGGGGGGGCAGGAGAGCCTCTGGGTCGCCCGTATCCTGTGGCTGCTGAGGGTCCTTGGGACGAAGAGGAAACCACCCGGCTCAGAACTGCTGACTGGCAGAATTGGGAAGAGGAAGTCGCCGAGGGAGAAAGCAGATGAAGATCCTCCTTCAGCCACGGAGCCCCCCCTCCCCCAGTTGCAGAGGATAAAATGGGGGGAGGGCTGCCCATGCTTTGGGCCTAAAGAGAGAGGCATGAAGGCAGGGGAGGGGGCAGAATCTCTGGCCTCCCTTGATGTGTCTTTCAAAGGACTGGGATGGGGGGGGGCTTTGACTAGGCTTTCATCCTCCCCACAGCACACAGAGTTCTTGGCTCAGGCTACAAGCCCCCCCCCCCAAGTTCCATCCAAGCGGCTGACAAAACACCGAGGCTTCTAGCAATAGACTCCTAGCAGGTGGGGAGGGTGGGGCACCATCCTGGTTTTCCTGCACAAAGACCCCCCCCCTTTGCAGGAAAGTGGCTCTCTGGAGACAGGATATGGAGCCCGTTCCCTGGGGAGATCAAGACTCTGGCCAAGCCTGCAGCCAAGGCGGTGCAGGGTCCCCCGAAAGGGGTGGAAGCCCCCCCCCCCCCCCCTGGACAGTTGGGCCCCCCGGACTCTGGAGGGGTGCAGCTCCTCTCCTCCATGGTGAACAGGCGTTGGGCGATGAGCTGCTGGGCCTTGCACGTGGTTACGGCACAGCCCAATCGAGGCTGCTTCCTCTCAGCTCCCTTCTCCGGAGGGCAGCCGGCGCCGGGCAGGGCAATCCTGCCAGGTCGCCCCGTCTCGGCCCGCAGTGCGCAGGAGGCATCCGGCTTGGCCGCCCAAGTGGAGCTGCTCTGGTCTGCCCCTCCCTCCCTCCCTCCCTCCCCAGCCACAGGACGGGGCGGAATCAACCCCCCCGCAATCCCCTCGCCCCCCTCGGGCTAGAGGCCGGGACCCCCCTTGGGGTGGGAGAGGCCAGGGCGCCCCCTTCCGTGCCGGTTCCTGAGCTCCGGCCGCTCCCCTCGGCCACGAGCGTGGCGGCTTCTCTCCTGCCTGCCTGCCCGACACGCCCCCGTGGCTGCCGCCCGCGCTTTCCCCGTGCCCAGGTCGCCCCTGTCGCGGAGAGGCGCCGCGGCTGCCCGCCCTTGCCGGAGCGGCCGAGCCCCGGCGTCCCGGCTAGCGGCGAGGAAGCGGCCGGGCGCCGTCGGACTCTCCCTCCCCGCCCCCCGGCAAGTGGGGCGGGCTCCGGAAAGCCGCCGGGAGGGAGTATAAAGGCGGCTGGCAGAGCGCGAGGGGCCGCAGAAGAGAAAGCGGGAATGCCGGCAAGTGGGGCGGGCAGGAGGCGAAGGCGCCTCTGGAGGGCGGCGGCGGGGGGGGGGGGGGCTTTTCATCGCACCCCCCCGCCCCAATTCCCGAGACCAGCCCTGGCCGGGAGAAGCGCTCGGCGCTCGGGCGGCGGAGCTCGGCATCTGCCCCTTGGGCGCAGCGCTGCTGGAGCGGCCACCGGCTCCCGCGCGGCCCTTCGCGCCAAGCGCATTTTCCGGGCCGGGGAGGCGGAGGGCAAGTCGCCTTCCAAACTTCGCCCGGCGCGCTGCCTCTCGGCTGTTCTCCGGGAGAGCGGCCGCCAAACCGCGGCTGCCGGCAGGGACGCTGAGGCGGGCAGGCGGGCTCCGAACGCCGAGAAGCGGCTGCCTGGGACCCTCCCCCGAGTCCCGCCCTTCCCCTTTCCCGGCAGACGGGACCAGCGCCGGAGCTGCGCGCTGCTGAGCTCCCTTCGGGCCGGGCAGCGCCTGGATGGGCGCGCCTCGTGGGCGACTCCTCCCGGGTGTCCGCGGCCTTTCGGGGCGGAGAGTCGGACTGGCTGGGGGCTTCCTTGGCTTCCAGAGCCGGAGCGCGGCCCACGCCGGGATCCCGGCTCGCTGCTTTCTCCGGGGTCCCGAGCGGAGGAAGGGCGCGAAAGACGCGCGCTGGGAAGGGAGAAGCCCCTGGTCTCCCGTCCCCTCTCCGTGCCCGGGGCCATCCCGGAGAACCCGGCGGGGATACCTGGCTGCCCTCCCGCCCGGTCTCTGCCCACGGACTCCCTTAAGGCGGTGGAAAGAAAATAGGGGCCAGGGCCGGATCTCCCTAGAGCTCCAGCAGAGAGACCCCCACCTGTGGCCTCACCTGCCCGGGGCTCCCTTTAAAGTCCCGTGATGGTGCCTTTCTCGGTCTGCCTATCATCTGTCTGTCCGTCTATCGGTCATCTCTCATCTCTCTTTCATCTCTGTCATTCATTCATTCATTCATTCTGCTTAGTAGGCTGCCTAGCTCCCCTTCCCTTGCGGGCCTAAGAAAGCTGCCTGCCCAGGTGCCTAAGGGGTGCTTGGCAGTTACTCTCAGGACTGGGCCAGCCCGAGGGGAGCCCCCTGCGCACACTCCCCTCCAGAGGCTGACCTCTTGCCCCCCCTTGCAGGAAAGAGCTGCCATGCCTCTGCATTGCCTCCTGTTGCTGCTGGCCTGCTTGGGCGCAGCCTCTGTGGCCGCCCAGCCCCCTGCCTGCAAGATGAGGATCACGGACAAGGGCCTGGCGCTGGGTAAGTGGCGGGGGAGGGGCTGGGGAGGGGAGAGTCCAGGCTTTGGGAGGCATCCCCTTCTGGCTCCGGCAGGGGGACCCCCATTTCCCCGCTGCCTGTGTGGCTGGCACTGCCGGGAAGAGTGGCGGCCTGACTTCCCCACAGCCGCCGGGCTGGTCTTTGGGGCTCGGGGCTCCGTGCCAGCAGAGACGCTGGGGGTGATGCCTCTGGGGGTCTCTTGCAGTGAAGCAGGAGGGGCTGCGCTTCGTGGAGCAGGAGCTGGAGAACATCTCGATCCCCGACCTGCAGGGCAAGTACGGCAAGTTCTACTACAACATCAGCAAGTGAGTTGGCTGGGCCGGCCGCTTACAGGCCTCAGGCGCCTCCCCAGAGCCCCCACCCCCCTCTGCCCGCCTGGCCTGGATCCCTGAGCTGGCCGTTCACCCAGCCATCGTGTAGGAGCCAAGTGTGGGGAAGGCCTTGGGAGACGGAGGGACGAGTTGCAGCCGGGGAGATGGTCAGAGAAGAGGCAGGGGATCCTGCAGGAGGAACGGGGACCTCACCAAGGAGAGATTCAACCTGGAAATAAGGAGACAGGGAGAGCCACCAACCCATGGAACAGAAGTTGCCCTCGGAAGTTGTGGGAGCTCCATCCCTGGAGGCTTCCAAGAAGAGGCTGGACAGCCATCTCTGTCAGAAATGGTGTTGGGCAGGGGGTTGGACTGGATGACCTCCAAGGTCCCTTCCAACTCTCTTATTCTGTTCTGTTCTTGGGCTGCCTAGGCGAGGAGGGAGAAGCCCCCTTCCATCCCTGCAAGTTTCGGCTAGCGTCGCCTCTCCCTCCCTCAAGTTCAGAGGGGGGCTTTGGGGTCTTCTACTTGGCTGGACCGTCTCCCAGGGCTGGCATCCCTCTTTGCAAGCCTTCTTCGGGCAGTCCCTGACTTGCAACGGCTCATTGAGTGACTCTTCTAAGTTACAAGGGCACTGAACAAAAGTGACTTATGACCGTTTCTCACACTTACGACCTTTGCAACTTCCCAAGGTCACCGGGTTTACATTCGGATGCTTGGCAACTGACTCGTATTTATGACAGTTTTTCTGACAAGCAAAGTCCATGAGGAAGCCAGATTTGCTTAATGACCATCTTATGATTCACTTAACAACTGTGGCAAGGAAGGTTGTTAAACGGGACAAAATTCGCTTAACCAGTGTCTCACTTAGCAACAGTAATTTTGGGCTCACGTGTGGCTGTAAGTCAAGGACTCGCTCTCCTCTCTTCCGAGAGAGGTAGAAGAAGACCCTCCTCTGAATTTTCGGAAGGGCCTCCCGTCCCCAAGGGACACCTCTGTCCCTCGAGTGCCTAGTGGTTGCAACACCAGCCGCAGGTAGATATGCCCAGGGGAGCAGAAGGCCGTGATCCATTCTGCCCACTGGGGGAAACCGAGGCAACCACTGGGGCGGAATTCGCCACCACAGCCCAGCAGCCCCCTCCCGTCTCCCACGGCCATTCCCATGTCCCCTCCCAGGGACTACGTGGAGCAACACATCCTCACACCCCGGGGTGTATGTGTTAAGCATAGCTGGTGGGCAAATCCTTTTTGTGACTGGGCTGGTGATCAATCTGGGTTAAGGCGTTAATGCAGGCATAGGTGTGTGTGTATGTGTGTGTAATTGTTTCTTTATTTATTTATTATTATTTATTTAGTTTGTCAAGCATGTATGAGAAAACAAGTATGAACATGACATATAAACATAGAAGTGTAAACAGGTATAAGTATATACATAATAAATGAGTACGAATAAATGGGAAGAGTAGGACAGGGATGGTAGGCACGCTGGTGTGCTTATGCACGTCCCCCTACAGGCCTCTTAGGAACAGAGTGAGGTCCACGGTAGACAGTTTAAGGTTAAAGTTTTGGGGGTTTTAGGATGTAACAACAGTGTTCTGACCCACACCCTTTTCCAACAAATCAAACACAATCCAAAAGGAACAGAAACCTTGTAATGCTTTTACAAAATAATTAGCTGCGATAAGCACAAGCCTTGCCAAAAGATAACAGACAAGAAATAATTTGCAATACAAGAATCTTGAAATACAAACTCAGGATACTGGAATGTCCACGAGGCTGGAGTTTCAAAACGTCTTTGCCTTCTGCAAAGAACTTTTGTTTCACAGCTGGCTTTTATCTTCTTGAAGGAGGGGCCATTACCTTGCAGCCTTACTCCCAAGTCGCCCATGCTGTTGTAGCTGCTCTTTCTTCCAAGCAATCCTGCACGCACGCGCACTTGGCACAGGCTCCTCGGGAACCTCCTCATTGCTGCTGTCAACCCCCACAGTCTCTGAAGGCAGCAGTCCACTCCCTAATGGTCCTGGCCCCTCATCTGAGTCCTCGCTCTCCTCACCCGTCCGCACCTGCTGCTGGCTAACCACAACAGGTAGTGAGTTCCGGGCATTGACTCTGTTGCTGAAGTCGTATTTTCTGTAATAGAGTTTGGAGTGGTTTACTTTGAGTCTGTATCTATTGTTTGCCGCATGTTATTGTGGTTGAAACTGAAGTAGTCGTTGACAGGTAGGATGTTGTAGCACACACATGTTTCTGACATCCTGCCCTCCTCAAAAATTTGATAAATCCACCTGGAAAACATAAGCAACGTGTTACATTTACAATTTAGGATGGTTTGTGAGGGTATTTCAGGTGGGACTTCCGTAGTAATGTGGATGCTTTTACATGTCTTTTGGCTACCCACTCATTTTCTGAGGAAGGAAGGTGTTTCTAAGCTACTAAATATTGTGTGGATCCATAGTGAGTGCGCAAATCAAGGATATCTTTAATTTCAAAATGTTGTTCCCCATGTACCATAATGGGAGTTGGAGGTGTGGGAAGTGGGGCGGGTCGAAGGTTTGAAGTGATCTCTGGTTTGAGTAGGCTGCAGTGAAATGCTGGAGGCACCTGTCTAAGTGTTTTGGGAAGTAGAAGCTCTACTGTAACAGGGTTAACAATTCTGGAGATGGGAAATGGGCCAATGAATTTTGGTCCCAGTTTCTTAGAGGGTTGCAACGATTTTAGGAATCTTGTGGACAGATATACGCAGTCCCCAACTTTGAATGTTTTAGGATTGCAACATTTTTGTCCGCTTGGGCTTTAAAAGCTGCTCTAGCCTCTTTTAGGGCTAGTCTGGCTATTGGCCAAGTGGCTTGCAAGTTATTAATCCACTCCTTAAGGGAGGGGATTTCAGGTTCCTTGGTGGGTAGTTCCGGCATGGGGTTGAATTCTTGGCCTGTGGCTACCTGGAATGGGGTGAAACCAGTGCTGCTGTGGACTGAGTTGTTGTATGCTACCTCTGCAAAAGGAAGAAGGTCAGTCCAATCGTCCTGTTGGTAATTAATAAAGCATCTTAAATATTGTTCTAATACGCTGTTCGATCTCTCAGCCCTGCCGTTAGTCTGGGGGTGATTGGACGATGACGAGCCCTGGGTGGAGCCCAATAGGTTTAAAAATGCCCGCCAAACTGTGGGTGTGAATTGTACACCCCTATCTGAGATAATCCTTTGGGGAGCTCCATGAGGGCGAAAAATGTATACTAAAAACATCTTTGCCAAGGTCTTGGCTGTTGAGATCTTTTGGCATGGTACAAAATGAACCTGTTTTGAAAAAAGATCAGTTACAACCCAAATGACAGTATTTCCTGCACTTTCAGGAGACTCCACTATAAAGTCCTGTTAGGGATATACACCCTAGCACAGGGGTGGGCAAACTTTTTGGCTCGGGGGCCGCATTGACTTTTAAAATTTGACGGACGGGCCGGGTCAGCACAAGATACGATGCATATAAAAAACTGCATTTGTTAACAGTTCCCCTGTTCAAAGCGAGGGGAGGAAAGAGTTTTGTTTTTTAAGCGGGAGAGACGCCTGCCGTACTCGGGGTAGGAAAAATAACAATTTTTTTCCCCGAGACATCCTCCAAAACTCAAGTTTGGCGTCATAGTTAAATTTGCACAACATAGATAGATAGATAGACAGATTCTTCCCCTACGAATAAACGACTGTGTGTGTGTGTGTGTGTATGTGTGTATGAATGTACCCCTTCAGCTTACAAAAGTTGGCCACTTATAAGATAAAAAATAAATAAATGCCCACCCCCCAAAACATAACTCCTCCGGTGCCCACGGATAAACTGTGAACCACCAATTAGTAGCAGGGCTGACCCTTCCTCTTGAACCAATGTCTAATTGGGGGGAGCAGACCGGCCTTCAGTCTCTTGCGAGAAACTGCTGGCTAACCCTGCAAACCGCTTGCCGAGGTGTGTGTGTGGGGAGGCTTTCGCTTGCCTTTCCCCCCACCCACCCAGCGCCCATTCCGCCGCCGCTTTTGCCATTAAACCACGAGTCCTCCCGGGCGCTTGGGAAGCCCGCTCGGCAGGAAATATCTGCGCGCCTCTCCCAGGACCTGCCCGCTCCGCCCAGCCTCCCCTCCCGGCTTACCTTGAAGGCCACGGGGAGGGTCTTGTTGCATCTCCAGTGGGAAAGCAGCACCAAGCACAAGAAGTTGGGGCTGTCGGGCCTCACCAGTTCTCCCGGATGATCGGCCAGGACGTCCACCACCGAACACACCTCGGTCTGGCTGCGAGGTCCCGGGACCGGCGCGCTGAGGGCGCCGCTGTTCTCTCCCATCTTACCGCAGGGGAAGGCCATGGAGGGAGGTGTGAGCGCCTGCTGGTGCTCGGGTCTATGGGAATATGCATCACAATAGCGGGCGTTAGGGGAGGAAGGAGGCGGCGGCAGAGCTGCTGCTGCTGGCCGAGAGGCGAGGGAAAGGCGCGCCTAGGGCGCAGCGAGCCAGATGCCCAAGATCACACGGTGGGCCGCTCCGAAGCCGGGCGCAGGAGAAAACCGCCCCAGCCCCCCCTGTGCAGGTCGGGCCCTCGCCGCCACTGCCAGTCCCGGCCGCTCCGGCCACCAGTTGCTCCTTGGGGCGCAGCTCTTCCCGTGGCCCCGTTGTGCTTCTCGTGCTCCTCGATGCCGGCGGTGCTCGGGGCTCAGGCGCCTCGGCGGAGGGGGATTCCCTGGGACCGAGAGAACTGAAACGGCTGCTGCAGCTCCAACGCGCCTCCTCCTGCCTCTCGGCTTCGCCGTCCCGTGGCTCTGGGTTCCAGAGTGCAGCCCCAAAGTCTGCCCGCCACGGTGGGGAGCCCGGAGGCGCTCAGCGGGTGGTTGGCCGAACCCCAGAGTGCTCCTTTGGTGCTGCCTCCCACGCCCCCTTCCAAATCAAACGCGGCTCAGGCGAAATGAAGCTGGGCTGTCGGTGGTGGCCGCGAGAGCAGCGCTCAGGGTTCCTTCTCCCGCA